ACTCCTCGAGATATACTCAGCCCACGTGCGCGTGGCAGCAAAGCGCCGTTACGACGTACAGCTGACACATTTGATTTTGTCTTTCACTGACTCCTATTACCCTGTTTCCTTGATTATCTGGTTCGGCATTCTAGCTTTGGTCAAGCGGGCACCATTTGCTCCTACGCCGGTGTCCATCGATTTCGTTGGACAAGCGTTTTCGCCATGGTTAGCATGTATAGTCAGCTGTGAGATTTTACAAGGCACCCACGTTTCTCACCACCTGTACCAAATCGTCCCACATAAGCAAAGAGATAAGCAATATATTTGTCGGCACTTTACCAGTAACCTGCCGTAAGCCTGCGATGATCCATCACCATTTGCTAGTGTGCATATGTAGAGGTGAGCACATAGGAATGTTGGTGTAGCGTTCTAGAAGGAGAGCGTAACCCCTCCCACCCCCGCCCGACCAAGGAGCCTCGGAAAAAAACGTTGCTGATGTGCATACAGAGACAGGCTAAAGTTAAATGAGTCAAAGGTCATTGGGATCACACGAATTCCGGTTCGGGGGGAGGCGAGACTGGTCCCAACTCTATTTGTTTGCATTAACTTGGATTTAGCCGCCGAATCGCCGAGCCTTGGGTGAACAGAAGCATATGGGGCTGGCTTTGTTTGTGAATTGTCCTAAAAGACTCGCGTGGGTCTTGACCTGTAGGGAAATGATGACATTAATTTGAGTAGGAGGATTTTGGCGAGTATTTTTGTTCGTCGCAGTCAGCCGACCATTCAGATAAGTCAACTACCTATCCGGAAAGGCTGCGGGCTAGTTGGCACGAGGCACTAGAAGTCATGGGTTCGACCCTCCGTAGAAGACCGAAAGATGCGCACTACTGACGAGCCCCAATAGGGCGAAACGGCCGTATGGTGCTTTCCGGATAGGTAGTTGACTTATCTGAATTGTCGGCTGACTGCGACGAACAAAAATGATGACATTAAGCTGAAGCCTATCATCACACTCAAGTGGGGAGGAGAAAGCGCTTACTATGGAGCAATGCGGTCGTGCTCAGATCCGTCCCAATAAGTAGCTGTAATCCGAGCGGTGTATCCAGCTGTCAAGACTTGCGTCGTCAGAATAACAGAAAACAACAAGGAAAGCGGTCAACAGGCATACGGAGGACGTGACCTAACCAACGAAGCGGTTGAGCTTCTATCAAACACTCTAGTGAGTCATCACAGAGCTTATTAACAAACACCAACTAGTGGACCTCCGTACTGCTCATCCGGTGTTCCCGTCAGATGTAAGCAATACTCCGCAAGGACCGATGATCAAACACGGTCAGGCGAACTGGCCAGGTCTCTGATCCATACAGTGACACCTGCCTTGTCGCAGCATTGGACACCCTATCTTTCACTGACAGCCTGATGTCCAGTCGTCTCCATAGATGGTTGAGCTTCTGAAGTGCCTCACGAGCTTTGCCGATAGGCGAAGCAATCATCTCAGTGATGTGAGTATCAGAGGTGACGCAACTGCCAATAATAGTGTGAACCGATCCACTAGTTCCAGTGGCGTATCAGTCCAATCCTGTAACTGTACTTGGCACTTTAAAGGTACACGTATACGTGTCAGTCTGTTCAGTACTGCTTGCATAACCACCGCGTCCGACCTAAGAAGAGCAGTGTTGTCCACATACTTAAGGTTTGCCACCACTGGGTCAAGTAGCATAAATTCTATTCAGGAAGATGCTTAAAGAACCGGGTCGTTTGTGATGATGTGGATTACAAAGTTCGAGAGGACATGAGATATAGGATAACCCTGGCGAGTCTCACTTATTGTGGGTAACTCAGGAGACATTTTCCGTATACCATTGCTCCGCATTGCTCAAGAACATAGGTATAGGGGCCTTCAGGATGGAAAGGAGTTCTCTTAGCGAGCCTTCACGAATGAATAGTACAACAAGGTGCAACAGTTATCAAAGTCGGAAGTGACTTTCTGGTAGAAGGAAATCACCAGAATCAGTCGTCTGTGAGTGCGTTTCTGCTTTAACCCTTGACGAAGAGTAAATATGTGGTCGAAGCAACTACGACCAGGACAGAAGTCAGCCTGCTTCTTAATGATCTTTGACTCTGACAAACACCCGTGCATCGTTGCAGAATTCTGGAACCAACGGAAATAAGGCTAGTGCCTCGGTGCTTTTCGCCACGTTTGAAGATGGGGACGACAACTGACAGGTTCCAGTCTGAAGGCACCTGCTGCTCAGTCCGCAAATAGTGTTGACAAGAGTGTTCATGCACCCGAGTCCCCCGATACTAATTAGCAAGGATGGATGATGTTCACTGGGTCCAGGAAATGTTGTGTCTCATCACAACACAGCGAGTTCATGTCACATTTTGTCTAAAGCGAGCACCCCCGTGCTAGTGTCAACTAACCAAATCACACTTTCTCCAGATTTACAGTCGCCAAGCGATTTGGTATCACTCATCCGTCAAGTAGATGTGTTAAACTTGCGTAGCATAGGCATCATCTAATAAGAGAGGACTGAAACTCGTCATCCTCCATGCAATTGCAGTAGTCCTTGTGCCAGAAACAGGGTTATATAAAGATAGTTGTCTACCCAAGTTGTATTAACGTATGATTCTGGTTGAATGGGATAGCTCGTTTTAGAAATCCCATTAAAAGCTTGTGCAAAGACACTTTGTCAGTAGTTCACCGTCAGCTTCGAATACTTATTAGTGGGTTGATCCCAACTCTACATACGTCAGAAGCTGACAATCGCCGTCGGTTTGACTACGATCGTAATTGCAGCGTGACTTTATGAAGCAAAGATTGGGAGCGGCCTACGTTCTAGTAGACGTCATGCCTTCGTGAATCCTTGATGGATGCACAAATGCGAGTTGCAAGGCCGGATTGTAATCACTCAGGTGGATTTTAGGATCCCGATAAACTGGATTAGCACTTTAGTTGCTGGAAAAGTGGACCTGAGTGTGGATGAAAAACAGTAGCTGCAATGAGACAGGCTAAGTCTCAGCGCTGAGGTCGACCGGAACCCTGTTCCTCTACTTCCGTGTTAGTTTATAGATCTGTGATTTTTCGTTAGCACTGTGTTCATTATACATATATATATATATATATATATATATATATATATTTATGGAGTAGCTTCAGATGGCATAGGCTAGTGGTGTGAGTTGGGTTCCTGACGGAGCCGGGGAATGCACACCACAGACGGGTTCCAAAAGGACGAAATGGCCGCCTGGTGGCTCTTCTGATTCGTTGTAAGCTAGCTGACTTGGAAGCTGCTATGATCAACTGTCAGTATGGTTACATGCTGACTGAGTCAAACAGTGACCACCTAAACAAAAAAGCACTAGACGGCCGTTTCAATCCTCCGGGTACCATTAGCAGTGTGTATTTCACAGTAAAAGTGGTTAACAATACCTACTACATTGAAATCACCACTCAGCCCAGACTGTTCATGGTGCCATAAGTTGACTGAGTCTAAGTTTAGGGAACCAGTGTTGACACAGCGATACACTGTTCTCTGAGCCGCGCTAACGAGCAAGTCAGCGGAGTAGGAAACGAGCCACTACAACATAGCACTAGTAATCTAGTCATGTCGATCATAGCTGTCCTCCCATGCTCTTAGCCAGTCAATCGTTAAGTCGTGCGTTAGACATGGGGTAGATGAGGTGTGCACCACCGATTATTCCCGAAAAGGTGAGACGACCGTTGGGGGTGCTTTACCGGACGTATGATGGCCGTTAGACCGAATACAGTTGTGACAACGAGGCAATTCTACATGTAGAGTCACACACATAGATCATATACATGAAGCAAAGTGCATTTTTCCCCATGAGAACCAGATCAACGGCACTTCAAACAATAGTTGTTGACCAAGCTGAACTGAATTGAGAAAGATGTAGGGGTCGCAGTAGCGCAAAGATCAAGGGTGCCACAAGGGGAAGAGCGAGGGTAAGGACTACGCATCTGGTGGACTGAGGAGTAACTCTATGTTGGTGAGGACACAGCTGTAGGGGCAAAAAGTCGGTTCGTTGGCTTCGGCATGAACACTTGCAGGTGCTGAGATGGCTAACGAATCATATGTTTTGTCCAGTGAATGACTAACGTGTGCTAGATAGTACCGAGTGAGATAGTAGATTGAATGATCTAGGATGCGAGGGCTAACAAGGTGCCCAGCTAGTTGATACCGTGAGTTCGAGTACTGGTTCAGAAAGAGGGCCGCTTATAGTTGCTGGGGTAGATGGGGTGCGCAGCTATCGCGGTAGTGCAATACTCAAGGAGTGGCTCGACCATGGAACGGGTGATGGCAAAGCAACCGTTCTGTGAATGTCTGTTACACCTATGTTCCCTCAGCTCCACATTGATAATGAATGTAGTCTCGGTGAGCGTGGGCTGGCTCTGAAGTAGCCATGGCGCCCACGCGAACCTCAACACAGTGCTAACACCTCGAGCGGACACAGAATGGGGAGTGTGGGTGGAGTAACACGCAGTTCAGTACAGACCGCCCGCGGTCTAGGAGTAATGATTCGCAGTTACCGTGCTATCTAAATGTGAAATGAATGCAGCCAACTGCACAAAAAGGACAGTGTAGCGCTTCAACCGTCGTGATCCGCGTCATGTGTGCAAGGCGCGGAGTGAAACACGTAGTCGTAATGGAAACTGCACACGTTCTCATCCGACCTAATTAAGTGGAACGTACACCGGAGGCGAAAATAAGAAAGGTATTTGACGATCAATGGCTAACGATGGAATTAGGAAGGGGCGACTGAAATCATGGAAATAAACGATACTCGCGGGAGGGGATTGGTTCAACTAGGAACGTAGCTTAACCAACCCCCCTAATTCCGTATGGGTCAAGATGAGTGGAGCGCAGGTCAAGTGTGAATGAGAAATACGAGACGTCCACATTGCGGAAGGAAGCGGCATAAGGAAGACGTTGAGAGCAAAAACACAAGCGGAAACCGCTACAGGTAAATCGTTGTCTGGGCGAAAAATAACGTACTTGGAATGTGCGCAACTGGGCGGACTTTGAGGGAGGAGCCGATGACTAAGACGAGATCAGCTTTATCGACGTCCGACGCCAACGTATCGTGAAACTCGCTGGACAAGTCCTCACCAAAGAACACAATGTCGGGCTTGAGAACCCCGAAAGAGAGGTTTGACATTTTCTCACCGTTTCGCCTCGTGATGTGCTTGTCGTTAGTCACTACAAGCGTAGGTGAAGAAGATTCGGTAGCAGACGAGCACGTACCCATGCCGTTAAGCTTGATCGTCGATTCCGAAGGGCGGCACTGTGGACAATACGGGATCTTCTGCGAGAACACCGACTCCTTGATATACTCTCCCGGGACACGGTGTCTGCATGTAGTGCATGTAGCCGTAGCAAAAGAACCTAGAAAAAGAAAAGTGACAGAAAGCAGAATATAAATAGGTGGAGAACGATTTGCGCATCTGTTCACAACAGATGCATATATATATATATATATATATATATATATATATATATATATATATATATATATGGTTGGCGGCATCTGCATCCTCCTGTCACAGTTGTCTCCAAGGGGACAGCAACAGGACGCCTGCGCCTACAGAGGGACCATGGGTGGCTTGCGCTGCACCATCCACACACCCTATATCCCGTGTAAACCCGAAGGAATATGACCGGGAGGCATGTGCATGGAAGCAACATTTCATCCACGGAGATGGCCCACACCTCTTCAACATGCAGATCAGCAGCATTCCTGTCTATCTATGAGGGGAATCACGCGTACCAGACGTACATAAGGCGGCGACTGGACCGTAGTTTACTCAACACTGGATGCATGGAACCACGGTTTGAGGCTAGCACCGTCTCGAGGACTGTGCACCCCGTCCCCTACCACAATGACTGACAGTCTTTTGGAGCCTGTGTAATCGGGCTGCATGGTAATAGACAGGTAAGCATCTTGTTAACACTCATATTAAGCTCAGCCAGGCATTGCACATCACACGGGAGGTTTCATATGTCAGACACAAGTCCGATAGACAGCCTGTCGAGTTTAACCCGACTGAGACGACAACAGCCGAGATCATGACAATATATTATTATTATTATTATTCACGTAGGCAGAACAAACCAAATAAAGTGGAATGAATTTTATCCACATTAAAAAGACCTAGTTTAAGTGTAAGTTGGTTTAGCCCAACTGCGGTGTAGAAGCATCAAGAATGCAACATCAGCCTCAGCATGGGACACTCGTGCGCTATATATATATATATATATATATATATATATATATATATTCAACATTTAATAAATATGAAATGTCACGCTGAGAAGACGAGCACTGGTAGATGCGCGCATTTGGTATTCTCTCATCAGTACCAACACAAAAACAAGAAATTATGCCATTACCAACCAATCAATTGCAGTGAGGTAAACGGCGCGATCGTTGTAGGACCAGGGCAACCGAAGGTCAACAACTGATTGTTTCTGCACACACACACACACACACACACACACACACACACACACACACACACACACACACAAGGGCAGGTCTTAGTTGGCTGATCGCCATGGTCTAGGCAGAGAGAGAGAAATGAACTGGCTACGCGGGAATCCCATACACGGAAGCAAAAATGAGGAAAAGTTTACCCCATCCGAGACGAAGCCATGTGAGGCAATAACTTCATTGTGGGGTCGGGGTGAGCGATTCGGAAACAACTAAGGCAAACGAAGCGGGAAAACGCTCAGGAAGGATGACTCATATCGACAGCGTCACGCAATACACCAAGTAAGAGATCAGACTACGTCATACAAAAGTAGTACGCTTCCATAACAAGTGATCGAAGAAGGTGACCAAGAATAATCGAGGCCGAATATGAGAATGAAGTCGGTAAGCTAAGACTATTTCGAGACGCAGCTGACGATTGGAAGACAAAGCAGCATACGAAACAGTATGAGAGGGGTCAAATGGGCGCCTCCCGCTCCTGCAAGCAACTAACGTGATCGGATTAGGTCACATAAAGGGGCCACTGCTATAGCTGTGAAAACGAGAACGTAGAAACGAAAAAATCCATCCGCTATGGAAGACGACATAGAAATACCACAGAGAGCAGTTATGACGATAAAAGGCGTTGGGCAGTCGAATGGACGAGAGTCAAGATTGTTGCGAGAATTATTTCCGTAAAATCCAAGCTGAATGAGTTTGGGACAACAAAATTACACTAATGGATGGTTGATGAAACGATCGTAGATGATCATTTGAGATGGAAAAAAGCCGGTATATTTGTGAGAAGCAGTCTGGCGGAGCTGTCAGACACAGTTGACGAGTCGAGTGGTAGGCAAACACTGAGTATACAACAAAACACCGGCTCAGTTAGATTGTTATTCGATCATGAATCAGGAACTGCAATGCAGATGTTATGTCATAATGTGCGATAATAAAAATGAAAAGAGGATATTGGGCAGAAGTGAGTGAAGGTGCGAATATATGCAAAGAAATTGGAAATAAAAGAGAACAAAAAGCGAACAAAATCCTTCGATGGAAGATGTACATAGTACAAGGACGCCATTGACGCTGCGGTTGCGACAAGTAGTCATTCCAGAGGTCAGCACAACCAATCCAGGAAAACAGTGGGTGTCCAGTTTGAATGGGTTATGTAGTCGGTGTGTCCTGTGAATTCTCATCATGCTATCAATTGACAAGTGTCACAAAACTAGACATGGTGGTAGTGATCGAGGTAGGTGGCCTCACCTACGTGGGAGGGCCGCCCAAGGTCAACAGACGGTCTAGTACAACACTTAAAGCCATACTGATGGAAACTGATTGGAGTAGTGTAACAGTTCTCAGTCGGTGGCCCTGCTAGACAAGAGTGACGATGCGTAGACATCGGAAGATGACGAGCAGCAGTCTCCCAGTGTCTTCGGAGTGCAGCGACAATGTGTCCAGTCTATACACAGAATGATTTTTGAGAAGAATCACTGCACGTAGTCTCCGCTAGTACGGCCTAAGCAACTGTGCAAAACATATGACCAAAGGTTAGGAAGGGTGGGGAGAAGTACAGGAGGATTCGCCGGAATTCACACATGTGGAATCGTAACACGGTAGGTGATGAGTGGGCTTGTCGCCCGAACACCCTCCTCGTGGTGCCAGCTGAGTGGTTTAGGGTTCATCCCGTTCCAGCAAATGGTTAGGCGACAGGGTTCCAGGATGTGTTCTCCCTATAAAAAAGCCATTTATGCCCGTTTAACAACACTGCGACGTGGCGGATGTGACTAGCTACTAAATAAAGTCACGGTCCACTTCTTCACTCCGGTGGAGTAGTGTATCCCAACAAAGTGACACTGAAACTGTGGGAATGATCGGGCCCCTGTATAGAAACCAAATGAAAGTAAAGAGTACAATCTAAGTAATCGGTCACCGGCTCCCAATGGGCGCGATTCCCTAGACTCAATCCGCTGCCGTGCGGATAGGTTATACAGCTAAAGGCTCCGGGTAGTGTTCCTTAAATCAACTCCCTACTTCGACTTCGGAAACCGGGTAGTATCGTGCCTTTTGAAAAAACTATGGGTTTTGCTGAGTTGTGAACAGTTTTCTCTTTACGGCAACACTGTACCTTCCCTACATTTCCATGGTTTTCTATGGCTCTATGTCTATTCGTAAACTGCTGCAAATGCCATGCATGCATACATACACAAAGGGGTGGTGGTGATTGGAGTGATGACTTCAAAGCTGACGAAGAGCAGCAACGCAATGGTGCAGCTACTTGAACAATCAAGCAAGCAGAATGGTAGATAGCGTACCGTGGCATTGTATCAGCCGAGTGATACCAGCTACTTGTTCCAGCGTATCAATGTTTTGGGTATAATTCCGTAGTAACTTTCTTTTGGACTCCAAAAGCGCCACAAAGCGATGAGTCAGTGATGGGGTGAACTGACCAGGGAATATTTCCTGAAGAGCAAGGAGAGAAAACGGTGGGCTAAACGACATGGTTGACATCAGTGCGAGAATCACAGGCGATGAAAGTGTCATCCACATACTTCTATATACGTCAAATGAGGCAATAAACGCTTGGATGGGACCACGCTCAAGCTTAGTGAGAAAGATGTCGGTAAGGAGAGGTTCAACGGGGACCCCATCGCCACGCCATCGATTTGTCTGTAATAGATTCCGTCAAACAAGAATTGTCTATTAAAGATACATCGCAAAATTAGCTCCTTGAGCTTAGGCATTGGAATGTCAACGTTTAGGTTCCCATCGGTTATACAGTAGCAGATGAAATTAACAGATTCCAGAAATGGGACGATTGTGAAAAGGGATTCTACATCAAATGAAAGCATCAGTCTACCAGTTAACTTCAGTTCTCTAACTTTATCAAAGAATTTGAACGAATCCTTCAAAGAATGGATAGTTGGCGGCATCCGGTTCCGGATTTGCCTGTCACTGTGGTCAGCCACTGCACGCCTGCGCCTACAGAGGGACTACGGATGACTTGCGCTGCACCACCCACAGCTCCAACCACACACATCATATCCAGTGTAAACCCGAAGGAATAAGACTAGGAGGCATGTGGATGGGAGCCACGTTTCATCAACGGAGCCGGCCCACACTCCTTCACAGGCAAACACAAGCACGTTGTATTTGGGGAATCAAGCGCACACAAGGCGGTGGCTGGACCGTAGTCCGCTCCACACTGAGTGCATGGAACCACTCTTCGAGCCTAACACGGCCACAAGGACCATGCACTCCGTCCCCTCCAGCAACAACCAACTGTCTCCTGGAGCCAGTATGGACGAGGTAGTGGGTAATAGACAGGTAGGCATCTTGTCAACATGCACATCAAGCGCATCCACACCGGGGATATCAAGAAACAGCCAATCACTTGTAGTGACAATATCAAATAAAATAAACTGGATAATTCATACAGACATGGAGACATAACTCTTCACTAAATGAGCGAATATAAAAATAATTACGAACGAATTCGCGATAAGTTCAAGAGGGCAGAATTTTTTTTTAAAGAAAATGGTACAAACGCGAAAATGTTAGAGAAATTAACTACAATTAGCTTAAGCAACGTGCGCAAGTTTATAAAAGATAGAACAGATAGACAATAATATGAGAAAGAAAATCAATAGGACAAAATTGAAAATCCACCACCTGGAACAAAGGGATTTAACATGCAAGCACACGACTAGTAAATCGAATGCAGCGTACCTACAAACGCTGCGCCGGTTCTGTCTACGTTCTCTGCAGGATCCGTCGTCGCTTCGGTGGTGGTCCCGAGTGGCCTCGCTCATGGCTCACTAAGCCTGCCTGACTCAGGCATTCGCGACCGCATGCGCTACAGCACCATGCGCACGATGTCGAGGGAGTACAACCCATCGGCGCATGCCGTTTCCGCACTTGCCGATACTTCTCTGCATACATGAGGTCTTTCTCCCGCACTTCGGCAACTGCCTTCGTGATCAGATCGTGCCATGAATGCCGATCAACCGTCTTCAATTCCTATCACCTGCAAGCAAGATAAGAACGTGAGGGGCTCGCTTTGATCATGTCCTGGTAACGTAACTTTAGTTTCCACACATGCCGCTTCCGAATATTCAGCTGACCACATACGAGTTGTTTCGGTATCCGCGTCGAATCTATACGGCTCACATGAACAAGGCACGTCAGGTGTCTCAACAAAAGTATGCAGTCCACTGCATACATTCCATTTCGACGCAACACTTCCGTGTCCGCAACACTGTCGCCCCATCCGATGCGCATAATCCGCCGTAAACACTGTTGATGGAACCGCTAACAGATATCGCACATTCCGCCGCTACATCGTCCACATTTCACTGCTTTATAGAAGAACGGACAGCACCATGGATTTGTACACCATCAGCTTTGTGCCAATGGTAAGCTGATGGTTGTTCCACACTCGGTACTCTAGCTTCCCGAATGCCGCCGCTGCCTTGAAGACGCGGATACGAAGCTCACTGTGTACTTCCTGGCCAGTCGACATCACACTCCCAGGGTAGCAGAAGCGGGAGGTGGTTACCATTACTTCAGCACCAATGCTGATTCGCGGCGATATTGGAGATTACATCTCCAGTGAAGGCTGAAAGAGACAGACAGTTTTGCTTGTGTTGATGGTGAGCCCGAATGTGGCCGCTGTCGAAGCCAGAGCACTAGTCATATGCTGCAACTCATCCGCGCTGTGTGAAAACAACGCACAGTCGGCAGCAAACAGCAACATACGGATAGTTGTCTCACAGACTAGGGCTCTCGCACCGAAATGACGGATGTTCAGCAACCCACCATCAATACGGTGCTCCACACGAACAACGCAAACCCAAGCCGCATCAAAAGCAAAAGACAGCATGGCATGAAAATATATATTAAACAGGGCAGGAGCTAAGATACAACCTTGCTTCACACCAGGGGTAACTGCAAAGTCATCCGTGGTCTCTCCACTCAGCTGCACCCTCCCCCGCATACCACCGTGCAGACATTCAAGTAAACTTACAAACTTAAGCGGGCAACCAAACTTACCCGACACTAGCCACAATGCCTCGCGGTTCACCGTATCGAATGCTTTGGTGAAAGCAACAAAAAGCGAGTACAATGGCTGGTGTCGTTCTCTGCACTTCTCCTGCAACTGACGAGCAGCAAACACCATATTTATGGTGCTGCGACCTGAACGGAATCCACACCGCTCTTCCGCCACGTTTGGTTCCACAACCTGACTGACGAGGTGATTGAGCATGATTCGAGCAATCACCTTGCCCACACAACTCAGCAAGTCGATGCCACGATAATTCGTGCAACACTGCTTGCTCCCTTCGCCCTTGTACAGTGGTAGCACAAAGGGCATCCTTCAGTTCAGGAGGAACCTCCTCATCAATCCATACGCGTTGCATCAAGTGGTGCAGCGCAGTCAGGAACGCGTGTCCGCCGTGTTTCAATACTTCAGGCGGGATCCCGTCGGCACAAGCACACTTGCCGTTTCGGCAGCTGAGAAAGCAGCCCGGGCAGTCGATCTCCGAACGGTCGTTCAAAAGACAAAGTGTTTCCACCAGATCTGCATTATGTCTGCAGTCTGTGTGCAGGCAGCGCCTGAGCTAACATCGATCAGCGTCCTCAGTGACTTCAACCTCAAAGAGTCAAAGAATTCCTTGTGTTGACGACGTTCGGCATAGCATTCCATCTGCTTCGCCTTCTCCGTCCACTATGCGTTTTTAATGCGACGGAGCTCGCGAGTCAGTCGTCGTCGATTCCTGCAAAACTGACTCTTCTTCCCCAAGTCACTGGGGTTTGCCATATGTGCAGCAAATGCCGCATTCTTCTCACACACCAATAAGCCCATCGTCGCACTGTTCTCGCCGCTTACAGTTTGTACGCCTCGGCAGCAGCTGTTACCTGGTCGCGAATGTGGTGCCACAGGTCGCCCACTGTGGCCATGCATACCACATCACACAGGCATGCAGCCATCGCCTTCTCCAGCACAGTACGTTTCGCCACAGTACCGAGGGAGAGAATGTTAAATTTACGCCGATTCACGGCGGGAGTGCAATACATAGATTTACGAAAATATATGTACAGTTTGGTTCGCACCAATTTATGATCAGTGCCACACTCAGCTCCACGCAGTACACGTGTCATGCGCACTTCACGCATATCACGTTGACGTACGATGACATAGTCGAACAGGTGAGCGTGACCACTCCGTGGGTGCGTCCAAGGTGCTATATCACTCGCATTCAGTGCAAACCGAGTGTTCGTGATCGTCAGGCCGTGAGTGGCACACAGTGAGAGCAGCCTGTCACCGTTCGCATTCGCTGAACCAATGCCATGCGAACCGATAACATCTGTCCACACCGATGCAACACGCTCAACGCGCGCGTTGAAATCACCCAGCAGAAATAGTCGGTCGCTCCTCGGCACAGACCGTATCACGGAGGATAGCTCAGTGTACAGTTGATCACGCATGTCATCAGGATAACACATGGTCGGACCGTACGTGCTTATAAAGATGGAAAACTTACCTCTCCCGAGTCGTAGGCGAACAGTCATCAGTCGCGCGCTGATACCTGTCGGTTCACCCACCAGCTGGCCATGGAGGCGATCGAACATTGCAAATCCGACCCGATGAGCATGTGGTGCTGAGGCGGCGTTGCTCACCCAGTAGAATGTGTAGCCAGCACCTGCTTCATGCAACTTGCTCAGCGAGCCGAGTTTCACTGAGCGCCGCAATATCGATGTTGTAGCGCACCAGTTCCATCGCGAACAGTGCAGTGCGTCGCTCCGGGCGCTCGCTCGAGTTCCGGTCCAGTAGTGTGCGCACGTTCCAGCACTCGATGCTGAGTGCTTTGCGCGCAGGCATACAATTGAATTGGTGACAAATCGCAGCGAGGTGGCGGTTGTGCTTCGGACGTTTGCTTGAAGGACTCCAGCCGGAGCCTTTGGCTCAATAGCCTGACCCACAATGCAGTGGGGAGCAGATCCAGCTCGGGAATGTGATTGGAGAGACAGATGGGGATCTGCTTGACGGCCGTCACCCGCAGTCTTGGAGGTACTGTAACAATTATTATATGTTTTGCGACCGTAGTAGGATACGCACCTACGACCACAGCCAGACGCAGGTGGATTTTGGCAGGTTGGCACCAATTTGAACAGGGGCTGCTTGGCTTGAGGTGGGCAGTAGCAAACCATTGAACACCCGGAGGTGTCCTCCCACCGTCAGTGATAATGCGTGGCACTCGGGCTCTACGCCAATCGAGCTGTGAGCTTATAACCCGTAAACCTGTTGTCTCCCATGGCTAGGTTTTACGGGAAGTGGGCCATCGACCACTTCCTAACCTCCGGAGAGGATGGACTAGGATACTGCCAGGGCACCCAATCCTGACAGAAGGACGACTCGGGTCCTCAGCCAAAGCCTTCGATTAAGTGTACGGCCGAGAGGC